CATATCTCTGGGCCGAGGAAGCTGCAGTGCGTCACCATTTATTACATCTGTCTTTCTGCACAGGCTTTAGATGAGGAGGGTTTATTTGCATAGCATCTCTGGGCTCCGTTGCTTTTGGAAAGGGCTGGTGGTTGGGGGGGAATGCATGCATCCCGGGTTCAGGGGAAAGCAGCACTCCTATGATGGCCTGCTGACCCACCTGCTTCCCCGTTTTTCAGACTGGGGAGTCAGCTAGCAGGATTATATGGCTGTGGTAGCCACGGGGGAATAGTTGGTAACACTGTGCCTCTTTAAAAACTTCAGCTTGTATTGTCTAGTCCAAATGGGAGGTTTCAAGAACTCTAAGGACACTGCCTCTCAAAGGCTTGGGGTAGACAGGGGTACCTTCCTTGTTTACCTCCCTTGTATTTAACTCCTTTGTTTGCAGCTTGTCATTGTTTTTTTAGCACTGAGCCACACAAAGCAAACGAGTTGCAGGTAAAATCAAATCTGAGCTGGTTTCTGTTTCTGCTGCTTGTTGGATACCAGTCTGTTCTCCAACAGGACTTTACTCTCACATTTGTGGGCTCCCCATCTGTGTGGATTCTGAGGACCTCATCCCTCCATTATGAGAGAGAGCTGGAGCAGAGCAGGGTTTTTTAAGCAACTGAGGCATTTGTATGGAAAACAAGCAATGAGGAATTGAGCTATTCTGCTGTAAAGCAGGGAATTGAGTTCTGGTGATGCAAGAAAACCCCTTGAGGTTAGCCTGGTTTTTCCTGTCTAAGAGAATGTCAAAGAAAAGCAGAATATGAGGTTTAAAAAAAAAAATAAATTAGGCAGCTTCAAGGAATCAGATTCTGGATTCCCTGGAGGTCTAAGAAACACAAAACTGTGGGTAGAGCCTCCACCCTGGGAAGTCCTTTAGCCCCAAATGTTGGAGAGTGGATGGATGTATGCAGGAGGAGCAAGAGTTTTGGCTTGCTCAGTTATCCTCTTCCTCTCCAAGCTGTCCGAGACGAGTCATCGCAAGGGGCAGACCTCCAGTGTGACCCAGCAGAGCTTATCCTTAGTTCTGCTCTCCCTTGTTACTCCAACTGTGTTATTTCTGTGTTAGCTATTCTGTGGAAGTTTCCTGTGGTTACGGGATGTATGATGGTGGTGTGCCTGACCCCTCCTCAGCGCACTGCTAGGAAGTGCCCTCAGCCTGGGCAACTGCAATATTGTGTTTGCTTCTTAATCCAGAGCAACACTACTACAGGCACAGCAGTGACGCTGAATTAAGATTTGTCCAGCTGAGAACAGAGTCTGGCTTTCAATCAATAGCAGCCTTTTTATTACTCTTAATTGGTGTGTGTTGAACAGGGAACACTGTGGCTCACGATGGCAGGATGTGTCAGGAAGGTGGAGCTGGAGCAGGGGGGAGCAACACAAGCGCAGCCAAAGGGAAAGATGTGGTGCTGTGGCAGGAACAAAAGTGGGGCTGGGACTTTACTGTAGGCTTAAGGTGAACTGACCAGGAGGTGGCTTTGCAAAGAGTCATCTCCTGCATCTTAGCCCTCAGTGGCCTTGTGCCTGCCTGCAGCATCATGCTGGGACAGTGGGGAAATCTGTGGGAAAGTGGCCATGGCCAGCCCACCATACTGAGCAGCAGCCTGCAGTCAGACTGGCTTACTCTGCCTATGAAGTCCCACTTCAGGTTTCCAATTTTCCACAAAAATGTCTGACTGTTTCCTTTGCATGTCTGCATGTGGCCTACAACTACACTAGTCACCTTCAGCTTCTTCTGGGGACATATTCTTCCTTAAAAATTTCAAGCAATTATAAAAAGAATCGTAGAGACAAATGCACGTACAGGGCACTGTCCTTCTACCTCTCAAATTAATTCTCAACCTTGCCCTTTATGTAAACAGTACTTCTGTAGTAAGACCATTTTTCTAGAGGATGAACTGGTTTGAACTTGAACTTCTCTTTTAGTTTGAATACATGCTAAGTCTTCAGTGGGCCAGGGAAAGCAAGTGATGATAGCTTTGTCCTGGGGGGATGAATTCAGGAGGAGCACTTGACTTGCAGCTCATATGGTTGCCTTCACTGCTGGACTCATAGCTACTGCGAGAAGAGACCACGTGCCTCCTTGATTTCCCTCTTCTTTCCCCCTCCAGCTAAAACTGAAAAGTCTCAGGGAAAACGCCACAAAGCCTCATCACAATTTGTTAGTGAAACAGGACACTACTTCTGGACAGACTTACAGTTAAATTTGTGTTTCTGTATTTGTCATGCAATTTGAGCACTAGTCAATAGTGAGGCTTGCACATTTAGTGTAGTGGTAACTACGTGCTGAACTGTGTTTTGCAATAATAGACAATAATTTCTGGTGTTTTATGACTGCTGTATTCTTGCCTTTGAAGGAGGAGGAACTAATTTGAGACTTTCTTTTGGCTGAGAAGGCCCAGATTTCCAAAGCACTGCACCCATCACAATGTGTCCTCTCTAAGTTCTTTCAGAAAACCTCTGTGCTTAGTTCAGGCTCCAGGCAGCATCCTTCAAGGGAACTGCCATTCCACCACTGACCAGGGGTTGCACTCTTCCAGAGCTCTTCGGAGTATCTGGTCTTGCAATTCCCTGCTGCTGCCCTCTCCTGCCTTTGCTTCAGCTTCTGCTTGTCCCCTGCCCTTCGTGGCTCACACCCAACACTCCGCAAGGTGCCTGTGCTGTGTGCAGTGCATCCTTTTGAATCGTGCCCATGCTGCCTCTTTTTCTCAAGCCTGCAGAAAGGTGGCTACACTCAGAAGACCAAACCTCTTGTTAAAACCTGCTCTGCCATTTCTGACCGAAGTGCACGCAGCTAGGGGCGCTACTGTCAGTTTGGTGGGAATTCATCTTGCATTTGCTGCGTTTTTTCTGTAGAGAGACAACTGCTGAGCAACCCCTTTTCCATGGCTAGTTAAACACTCTGTGTTTCTTTCCAGTTATTTCCCCCTAAATCTGTGAAGAATACACCTCACTGGAAGCATAGCTCAGTGTGTTGGGGGAGGGGGGGGGATTACAGTGAAAATATTTCACTTCAGCTCTTCTTTCCGATAGCCACCTTAGTCTGTATGCACAGTCAAGGCATGTTGGCTGGGCCTGACTTCAGATCGTGTATTTTCTGGTTTTAGACAAAACCATTGGTTTCTCTCAGCAAGGAACCCGCTTAATGGGGTGGGCAATAGAGTATCTGCTGAGGCATCTAACGGGCTGACTTTTCAGCTGGTCTCTGTAACAGGCTAGCAGGATCCACAGTGCACTTAAGAGTTTTATGGTCCCAGCACAGACTAGAGCATCAGCCCTTTCCTCAGGAGTCCCATAAGAGCTGCAGCTGCCTTCCCATTAGTTTCAGATTCGTGTTTCTATATGGTGGTTACCGCCACGGCAGCCATGCGCTGTAGCATAGCCATCAGAGCCTGGCCACCCTTCCTGGGGCAACTAAGACTTCAACAGCCTCAGAAATAATGGGGTAATAAAAATACCCATTCATTTACACACTTGTTTTTCTGGGATGGCTATTGGCAAGTCAGACACACACAAAGGCACAGGATAAGTTCAGAGCCTTGTCATGCAAGTTACTCTTTCCTACATGTGGGAGGTTTTGAATTCACCCAGGTGAGAGCGGTAAACTGCTGTCAGGGAGATAGAGGCAGGGAGAGGGTAAATCTGGGACAGATGTAGAGAGGAAAGGAGAAGGGCTGAGCGCTGCTGCTTCCCTGTACAATGACCAACCAATGTTGCTGGTGACCACCACTTCTTAGGCCTGCTCCCATGCTATGGGTAAATCTCTTATTGGAAATTCCTGAAGTCCTGAGATAGGTGTGGATGGCTGCATGAAAGCATCTGTCAAGGAAGATGCCTGCCCAGGCTGCTTTCCCTGGTGTCAGCAGTGCTGTGGGGAAGCATGATCTGTCCGCCAGCCTGGAGCGGTGATGTTGCGTTGCATCTTCTCCTGACAGGGAAATGTCTTAGAGGGGTTTGATCACCGTGAAGCCATTTCAGAAAACTGACAGCATTTGCTAATGCTGAGCTCATGCAACCGTACAAGTCACGTTGTGCGCTGGTCTTACTTTGTGCAGCATGTCAAATCAATTGGGGAGAAGAAATGCCAAGGCCTGCTTAAGGAAGAGCTGCTGTATTTTTTTTTTTCTTACTCAGATGTGTTTTTCTGCCTTTTACCTCTTCATTTTCTCAGGTGCGTGATGACTTTCCTATTTAAGGCTGATTGTTCTTTCAAAACAGAGCCTTACCCAGTTGGGGTGTGCCAAGGGTTACTCACAGGGGATGCTCGGGCCATTCCTACCTGAGCACTCAGATATCCCAGACCAATAGCAGACGCGGGTGGGAGAATGTTTCACATCTCTGCATGCAAGACCAAGCTCTGAAGTGTTTCTCCCTTCACTGCCCAAGCAAGACTCTCAAGGAATGCAAGGAATATCTCCCTGAATTAAAAATCAGTCAGCCAGGCCTATGGGATTTCGCAGCCAGAGATTAAGCTCTCTTTCCACAGCTTCCTCACCAAAAGTGATGAAAAGCAGCCTGGGCTGATCTGTATTAGTCCTGCATGGCAACACAAAAGGCTCAGAGAGTAAAACATTCCCAGACCCAGTGCAGAGCTGAAGTATAGACCCTGCTCGAGTTTGCTTGGAAACCTCTGCATCTCTGTCCTGCTGTCCCCCTGGAAACTGCATGATTTTGCAGCCAGGCTCAAAGCCCTCTCAGAAAGGTACTGGTAGCATTAGAAAAACCCAAATGAAAACTCAGTGAGCACCCAGCCACAGGTCCCCATCCCTAGGAATAGCTGAGCAGACTAAAGAAGAAATACCTGAGTATCTCCTCTGGTTTTGTTGGTGGCAGGCAACAAAACATCAGGCTTGAGACAAATAGTTTTCAGCTGTAGAAAAGGTAGGCAAGTAAGGGTCTTTAAGGGGCAGGAACACACGGTTGGCAAAGGATGAGTATTCATACTGTTCTTTGCGTTTTCTTTCCTCCAGGAACTTCAGAGAAATCCTTATTTGATCATAGATGGAGCTAGCAGATTTGATATCATGCAAGGAGAAATAGGTAAGATCATATTCCTATTTTGGAAAAGATTGGCACAAAGCAGCAACCTGTGATGGCTTTGCTATGTTTTGAATGCTCGGTGAGAAGACGTGGACCGTGGTAGCCGCAGTAAACAATTAGTGCAGGTCAATCCAGACTCACACAAGTCCACACACAATTTATAGCAGATATTTAGCAGGATTCCTAAATGCAGCAGCTCTAATCCCTGTTACTCATATATGGCACCTGTACTCTACGTATAAGAACAAGCATAGAAAGGGAAGTCCAAATGAGATCAGGCAGATGCTTCAAGTACAAGGGTCAAACACAGTTTGGGGTAAGTACGCACAGTTCCAACACGTTTAGGACTGAGTTTTCTTTTCCCCCCAATGTCTTCATCTGACTCTCCGTGTTTTCCTTCCCATTGATATTTCTGTGCATCTTCTCCGATACTTATCCAGACATGTGTCTGCACCCTGTATCAATTCCATCTCCTTCTCCTGGCCCATAACCGTGTTTGTCTTTGGGAGCAGCTCTACTCCCATGTAGAAGGAAATGTCTTCCCATTTCTCACCCCACTGAGAAGTATGAAGATTTCCTAAGCAATGTTCTAGATTGCAAGTCTCAACATGATCATAAAAGACAGGAGGACCGTGAAGTAGAAAAGGATGGCTGGGTGGCATCAGTGTTCCCATAGACATTGCTGGTGAATACTGGTAGTGGTTCAGCATTTTGGGGGAGGAAAGGGAGACAGTAGAATATTAGTTGCTTTTAAAAGGCTTGCTCTTAGATGTTGAAGTCTATTCTCCCAAAGAGTTAGTTACAGTGCACAACTGTGAGTAACTGAGTGAATGTACCGGATTCTTCCCTCCCTTCAGGTGACTGCTGGATGCTGGCTGCCCTGGGCTCCCTGACACTGCAGAAGCAATTTTTGGAAAATGTTTTGCCAAAGGACCAAGGATTCCAGGACAACTATGCTGGGATTTTCCACTTCCGGGTATGTATTCTCTGCTGTATTGATACTGCTCGGGCTTGGCCGATTGGATTATACAGGTGTCCAAACTGCAGTCCCAGTTCTCAACTTACTTGAATGCTTTGGTTCTTCAGTGCTGAATCCCAGTTCAGAATTTTGCAGAAAATCCCAAATTTTCTAATGATTCCTTGTGCTCCAGGTGGCACCCCTTCAGGGAATTTGAAGCCCTTTTCTGAAAATTATGACTCCAGAGGTACAAATACCAGCTGTTCAGATAGATTTGAGTACATATATGTTTTAGATTGCATTCTGGTGTCCGCTTTGATTTGGACAGGTTGTTATGACTGTCGGCACACCTACTTGGACTCATTTTCCATTTCCCCATATACTTCATCTTGCCCTTTTAGCTCGTGGAAATGGCTTGAAATTACTAATCCCTGGAGACAGATCAGAGGAACAAGCTTTTGATATTTTGAAGAGAGATTTGTTTCAGAGGGAGGAGCAAGGCTCTTTAGTAAATCTCACGTTCTACCAACTCTTGAAATTCTCTGAATCTCCCAGGAGGGTGACTGGGATAGTAACTGGCAGGCCTTGTTTGCTTGTATCAGTCGACCAAATATCTTGTAGGATTAGAAGCACTTGCAATACCATTAAGGTCCAGAAGCTAAATTGGATGTAGAGAGAATCAGTATATACTTGGCCATTCATCATCCCCCTTTTTCACAAATCTGTTTTGTTATACACAGTTCAGTACCAAGCGAAGAGCTCTGGCAGTGAGACTTCTTTGACCCCCTGGAGCTCTGATGGAGCAGCACCAGGAGGATTATCTTGTGGGCAGTCTAAATTTTGCTCTGTTCCTTTGCTCCTTGGAATACCAGATGTTTCTGTCTTGGCCCATTTCCAGCATGCAGAGGTGCACTGTATGAGATAAACCAGCTGAAAGGATACCAGTCCACTTAAAACACATTAAAAGGATGCAAGCTAGATTGTCTTTCATGAGAGCTTGGAAAAGATTAGTTAGGAGCAATCCTTAAATCTTAAGCAGTATAAATACCTTACAGTGTTTGAAAATGTTTTCCCTGTCATCTCATCTGCAAATCAATGCAACTGTTTCTGGCTTTCTTTGAGCAATAAACCCCTGAGAGAGCTACTCTGAATAGAAATGCTTCTCAGCAATGCCTTTCAATTATTCCATCAAAGATATTTTACTGCCATCCACAGGCTAAGCCACCAGTCCCCGGTTCAGTGAAGAACTGCAAAAAAAGCATATCATATGCTAATATAAAAATTTTAGTTTATAACTTTTTTCCACCTTTTTGGATCTGGAGCACGTTGCCTCTCGGGAATGCAAAGGGCTGCTCCAGTATTCATACAAAATACTGGCTGTTTGGCTGCAAGAGTTAAGGGTGTTAAGCACTTCATCAACTGTAGTTAAGATGAGTGACATTTTTCTCTAGGGAATAATTACAATGACATTTTTCACCAGGAGTTAAGTTAGTCCTACATTTGTATAGGAATCACTTTGTCTTCCACAGAAACTCTGATGCCTCTGAGGCAGCATGTGCCACGCATTGTGACAGTGAGCAGCAGCAGCTCAGCCTGGGTTAAAAACCAGAAATATTCTGCAGGGACTACAAGGGGTTATGGTACAGTGCATCAACGTGAAACAGGGGGGATCTGCCCCGAGCATTAGTGTCCCTGCTCTCAGGAAGAAATTGATGAAATCTTTAAAGGCCATGAGTGGTCAAGACCTCAGTTTTAGAATACATCTAAAAGGTACCTTCTAACACCATGCAAAAAAGAGTAGTTGAAAAGCATGGAATTTTCACCTTGTTCACTTCTCAAACTGGATTTCTATAAGATCCCTGTTGAAGGAGGTAAAAGAGAGGCAAAAGAACAGAATAGCATTCCCCCTCTGATCAACAGCACCCTAGTGTGTTGTTGTCATCTTGCAACTGCCCATTTCTTTTTCCTTCTCTTCTAAGCCCAGGAAAATAAAGTCCTGATTTAAGAGGCTCACCACAAATGTGGAAATGAAGAACATCCCTCTTTGCAGCCTGCCTAAATAGGGATTCTTTGTTTCATTTACTGTCATGTTCCCAGCTGCAGTACTTTAAATCCTGAGCCTATACAGAAATTTCATGAAGCCAGACTCTCATGTCAAAAGGTGAAGATATCAGCCCTCTCTGAAGGCATGTGAGGCTTCTCCCATAGCACTTGCACTCCCAGAGCATCCTAAGGCTTTCTGTGAGGGTTTCTCATTCCCATTGTGACTTTTTGTGTCCTTGTGAAATCTGATAAGCCCACAATCTGAAAGTCTGTGGCAGTCAGGACGACTCAGCTCTCTTTATCCAGCTGAAGAAAAATACAGAGCTGTGTTCAGAAGGTCTCCAATCTTGAGCTCCGTACCAAAGATGACCAAGGAAGTTGGCTTTTAGAAAAATGCTGCTCAGTGGGTTTGGACTGCATTAATCTCCACAGCCAGTTCCATATTGTTCTCCTTGTTTACCTGTTGTGTTTGCACATGAAGCACCATGGGGAAGGGTCACACCTTTTCTCCATACAAACCTGCTGCCAGGTGTTGACTGGTGAGAGGAGAGCACATCAGGTGACCAAAAGGACAGCTCCTTTTGGACTGTCCTTTTGCCTGGCTGTCTTTCGGGAAGAGGACAACCATTTGCAGGCTTTTCCTCCATCCCCATCCTGCCAAAATCAAGCAGAAAGCTCAAACCACTCCTGGAGCTCAGTTCAAAGCCCAGCCCTGCCACCTCTTGCCACCACCAATGTAGAAGTGAGAGATCGGGGTAAGGCAGGGCATAAGAAGGAACAAATCTGCTTTTGGCTTAGCGGACTGTAAGCTGCTTTGCTGCTGGGCAGATCTGGTCTTGTGCTTTTCTAACACAACAGCTGATTTTGGGGTTTTTTCGTTGAGCAAAGCTGTTGAAATAAAATCATGCTAGACTAAATCTATTGCTGGCATACTTCCACTGGAGTCCTTAGCATTACTGCAAATAGGAACTTGGCCTCTTATGATTGTGAATCATGCTAAGCTACATTAATCTGCTAATGACTCTGGAAATGGCTCCTTCAGTTTTTCCCCACAGATCTCTTTC